ATTAAGGTCTGTTGAGTGTGCCATGAATTAATCTGGAGTTAGGTTAATTATACTTAATTTGCAAACAAAAAACTTGAGGTAAAGAGAGTGAGCCTCAGATTATTAGAGATACCCAGATAAAACTAGAATCTGGTTACCCACTAATCTACACTTGGCATTAACTGAACATCAACCAATGTAAAAGAAAAAGCACAGTTTTATCTCTTTTCTTGTTATTAATGACGTTAAAAGTCAAGCTCCATAAATCATGTCTGGGAAAAGGAGCTGGGGTGAGGGAGGGGGACCCAGCAGTCTGGGTGAAAAGGATAATTTATAGAAAAGTCATCTCTTTTCCTTATAAAAAACATCACCCTTCATTTTTACTTACAKAGAAAATATATTTGTCAGATTCTATGCTGTTTTATTTAAATGTTTATGAGCACATGTGTAACTTCCTATTGAATTTTTCATCAAAAATAAAGGAAAGTGTCATCACGATTTTGGAAGGTTTTATATATAAAATTATTCTGTTTCTTCCTATCAAGCACCTACCCACTCAATAATTAAGTTAATTTGATACAAACAAAATAAATAACCTTTATATTATGGTACTTTTAGCTACCACAGCAATTTCTACTTTTCACTAAATTAGGTGACATGATGTACTAACAGTTCACACAGCTCTCCTAATTACAGAGCATCTTCCAGAAAGATTGTTTCCTTTTTCTCTTTTTAAAAAGTCTATGTATTATAAAATAGCCCAGGTTCACCCTAGGCAAAGGTCATCTTTAGACAATGGAAAAGAAAACTCAAAAATTTATTGAGCTCCCATGTGCCAAGCACCAAGCTGGGTTTAGTCATCTGGGCAGCCCAATGAGGGAAGGGTCATTATCCTCGTTCTACAGGTGAGGAGACTGAAGTTCACAGGAGTTATGGACCTTGCCCAAGGTTCTCCATAAGGTATGGCTTGATCTGAACCAAGAGACTCTGACTCTGTGGCCTGGCTGTTTCTATTGGGTCACCTTTTATGTTTATGGGGGAAAACTCTGGCTCTGGGCAGAAGAGTGCCCTTCCCACGTGAGTTCTGACACACGCAGAAATGCCAAGATTTTCTCGTCATTCTTCAYACCCAAAACACGCTAAATTCCTTACCTCTTCCAACTCTGGCAAAAGCTTCAGAAATTCTCGCAACGTCTCTGATCCGTAATGCTCRCTCTTTCCTTGATGAATATCTTCCACAATGGACTGRGGAGACCTTGAAAAGATAATGAGTCACATTCCATGTCACGWGCTTGGAGCGTCAAGAGGGAACAGGCCTGTGGAAATTCAAACACCTCCAGCCTCCACCCTCCTTCCCATCCCAGCTCCCTCCCAGGTTCCTGGAGTCGCCTTTGGGGGAAGTAAAACAATCCCCTTTGGCTTCCCCAGAATTCCTACAGAGCCCCCTTCCTTGTGAGTGCAACAGCAATTTGCCTCCTCAGTCCAGTCTCCACTGAAGGAGCAACACTAAAGATGGATCTAGAACTTCCAYGACACAACTGGCCTGAACGGTCAGTCCTGGCAATTCTCCTGACTTCAAGCAACTGGATTACGCTCTGACAGATACTAGCGGGCTCATCAGGCACTGCGTCTAAAAAGGACCAGAAGGTGTGAGGAATGCCTTTCGCTCATATCGAAGTTGAACTTCAGCTGGGTCACACCCACAGACTTTGCTGTTGACAGCCTGGATACAGATGACTAAAGCTTGAATGTGCGCAAAGAAATCTTACTTCTTAAATTGCTTAAGAAATATCCCAATGTTCATGTTCCGTTTTGCATCTAAGATGGTAATCTGGAAAAAAAAAAATAGAGACACAGAAGATTATTAAAGTACAAATAAAAAGAGGAAAGAAGAGAATCAAGATACAATACTAATAAAAGAATAATTATCAACTCATCAATCTAGTGATTAATAAACTTAATAATTTTATGAATATATTATTGATATTATCATCTTTCCAAACTTTCTACCCTATATTTTTAAAATACAATAATGATTTTAATATTACATAGTTTTTTAATATATGACATATCTCACAAGGTAGGGTACCTTTTGATATAAATAAAATATGAAAAAGCTATTCTAATGTATCAGATTTAGGCTGCAATATTTAAACTGTTCAAAATTAATAATACAGTAGGATGTTATCAGACTAGAAATTGGAATCTTTTTTTTTTTTCTTCTTTTTGGTTGCTGAATACTGAACCTATTTCTATCTCTGGAGGTAAATGCATGGAGGAAAGATAATCTACAATGATGACAATTTTTTCCATTTGTTTTTTGGTAGAGGGAGACTAGTTAAAATAGGAATGTTGTTATAATCCTCTTCCTTTCCAAATGTATGTGATTCATTGTGAACAAAAGAGAGTCAGGTTTCAGACTAAATCTCTGGGTCTGCTTCTAAGTTTATAAGCAACAGCGAGACTGGAGACTGTTAACCTACGTTAATGTCACTTCCTGGCTATAAGGTTAAATTTTTACATGAGTATGGGTGCCTTCTTTTGAAGACTAATCTTAAACAATCACATTATTTACCAACCTACGGGGTTTATTTCGTGTTAACATGATCACCTGCCAGCCATAAAATAAACTCCTAAGTTAAAAGGACAGACTGCCTGGAATCCTACCCAGGGATCGCAGTTCAAGTTCAGTGTGAAGGGAGAGGACGGAAAGAGGGAGAATTTTTCCTGTCAGACTTAACAAGCTTTAAGGAGGAAAGTTGGTACCAAAGAGAGGAATTTCAATTTACAAAAACAGAAAATCATGCGTTTACTGTAGGTCATAAATTGAAAGATCACAAGTATGAGCACGCATATTGATATAATTATACACACATCTGAAAAACTTCTATGCATTCACTTCTACCTACAACGGAGAGAGAACTCGTTTTATATTTCTCTAATGAAATCAATGCCTCCTGCTATATATAACCCTTGCCTTAAGCATCCTCCCACCCCCACGGCTCCAAGCCCCACCCTCATCCTGTCCGCCCCTCAACACTCTGGGGCTCTGTACAGTTGGCTTAGGTCCATAACCATTGTTGCTGGAAAAGCGATGGAGAAAATTACTCGTATTATCCCTATTTGACAGATAAGGAAACTGAGCCTCAGAGATAACATTTTATAACTTCCCTAAAGCAGTACTGGCATAAGAGTGCTAGCCTGGGTCTCTCGGATTCCTTTTCACTGTAGTTTCTGTTTTAGTACCAGTGGGCTTCCTACATAGTCCCAGTCCCAATGGGAAGGTTTCCACAGAAATGGGGGCAAATTTGTAGAAATTTGCCATCCACAGTGCCTGGCGAAGTYCCCTGGTGACCCCAGAGTTGTATCTGTGGGATTGCTCAGATACACATTCTCAGCAGGTAAGACAGCCTCCAGGGGCGCAGCCCACCATGCTCCACCCAGGGTAGCCATGGCTTGGAGGAGCAGTTGACTCCACTGCGCTGGCTGTGTTTCAGGAACCGGTCACCAGTTCCTAAGGAAAAACCCAGGCTGGCCTTGACCGAGTACCTTACAGAGAAAACAAAGCCTTGTGTGAAAATGAGACAACTGATAACATCCAGGGACAGTCCTGCTCTCTCCAGGCATCCTCAGGTTTGCCTAGTGCCTGAGAAGTCTCTTTCTCCTACCTTATCACTCCAGCCTTCTAAGCACTGTTGTAAAAGTGTTTGTTAAAAAGTCCTTAAAGACAGTCATCACGCCACGCCACGTGTAAATCAGCTTATCTCACTCCCCAAACACTGGCTGTCTCAGAGCTGGGCCATTCAGCAATGAATCCATTTGGGATTGGGTGATGATGTTTGGGAATCGTTCGGAGCGTGGAATCTGTACCCGGGATCCCACCTTGTTGGCTGTACAAATTGCCCCCAAATAAGGATGAGGCAACTCAGCCAAGGGCACTGTTGCCCATCCCTCCCACCAGCTCCAACTGGCTCATAATCTACTCTTCCGGACACACCAGGGCGTGTAGACGGGGCTGATGGCCCCAGAAGTCAGTGCTGCACCAGCAGGTTCAGGAGATGCACAACAGAGTCCACCAGCTCTYCCTGCAGAAGAGTGAGAACCCGGCAAGTGCCCCCGGCTCACTTCAAGGATCTCCCACTAGATGGTGAAGGGGACCTGGCTTTCAGTAACAGTGCCCCTGAAACTGCCAGGGTGGCCCGGGTTGTGGGACGTCCTCTGAGGCACTGAGTGAGCAGCGCATGCTGTGCAGGGCAGGGTGTATGCTGTCTGTGAGTGGCTTCATTCCACCTCTTGCTAAAGCTTTGGAATGAGATCACCCGGTTTCTTCTGCTGCCATTCTTGCAGCTTCACTGCCATCAATCCATTGCAAAATCTGTCTCCCATATCCTCCACAGGAAGAGGAACGTGTTTAAGTTGAAGTAAACGACAAATAACATTCTCTATTGAGAACTTTTTTTTTTTTTTGTACTGGGTATTGAACCCAGGGGCACTTGACCATTGATCCACATCCCAGCTTGCCCACCTTCCCTCTCCCCCTCACTCTTTCTTTTCTTTCTTTCTATAGAAACAGGTTCTTGTTAACTTGCTTAGGGCTTTGCAGAGTGTTGGGGCTGGCCTCAAATTTGTGCTTCTCCTGCCTCAGCTTCCTGAATTACTGGGATTACAGGGTGCACCACCGCACCCAGCTATTGCAACCAATTTTAAGTGCTATTAAGTACCCCCACCTTGTGCAACCATRACCAACATCCATATCCAGAACTTTCTCATCTTGCAAAACTGAAGCTCTGTGCCCATTAAAAACTTACTCCCCATTCCCCGCCCCAGCCCCTCTCTTTTCAATCTGAGTCTGAGTACTCTAGATGCCTCTTATATGCAGAATCATACTTTGCCTTTTTGTTTTTTTTTTTTTTTTTTTGGTACCGGGATTGAACTCAGGGGAACTTGACCACCGCTGAGCCACATCCCCAGCACTATTTTGTATTTTATTTAGAGACAGGGTCTCACTGAGTTATTTAGTGCCTCACTTTTGCTGAGGCTGGCTTTGAACTCATCATCCTCCTGCCTCAGCCTCTCAAGCTGCTGGGATTACAGGCGTGTGCCACAGCGCCCAGCTATACTTTGTCCTTTTATGACTAACTTATTTCACTCAGCATAATGCCCTCAAGGTAGAAAAAGAAACTTATAAAATTACTTCTGTTTCAATAATTCAAAGGTGGCTCCCTTATCCTAACACTAAATAGTGGCCACTTCAAATTCTGAAAGGCAAAAACTTTTAAAAAAAAGTTTTCCTCTATCCAGATATAGAACTAGCATTTGGTCTTTGATAGTTTTTTCCTTTCTTTCTTATTTTTGATACCAGGAATTGAACTTAGGGGCACTCAACCACTGAGCCACATCCCCAGCCCAATTCTGTATTTTATAAGAAAAAGGGTCTCACTGAGATGCTTAGCGCCTCGCCATTGCTGAGGCTGGCTTTGAACGCACAATCCTCCTGCCTCAGCCTCCTGAGCCGCTGGGATTACAGGCGTATACCACTGTTCCCAGCGGTTTTTTATTTTCTTTGTGGCTGGCTGTCAACTAGAAACAGTTGCTCATCCCACTTTAGGAGACAAATTGAAAGCCCCCATTGAAGCACATTAAAAAATAATAAAAATTTTGAATATTCTATGTCATTCTCCAGTTCTGGTTGAGAGCAGATCCCAGAACTTCAGAACACAGAGGGATCATCACAGCAGTTGAGGAGGAATGACGGATCCCTGAATCGCAGTGTAGGAGAATAAAACGTCACTGCTTATAAATTTACAGAAAGCAACCATCCTTCTGTCCTTCCCTCCTCCTCTTCTCTTATTCCAGCTGGAGATTTTATTATTTTCTATATGGTCCTCGTACGTTCAGTGTCATGCTCCTGACATCACAAGTGAATGACAGTAGGTTTCTCAATATTTGCTTTTACTTGGGGAATCCTCATTTTGATCTGCTGTCACCTCAGAAGTGTGTCTGCTCCCTTGGTCCAGCTGACTATTCCACTACCTTTTGTTTCCTTTGGAGGATACTAACTGGCCAAGACATCTATCCTTAAGAGGTGGTCAACTTGCAGAGGGAGACACAGTGCTATTAAGGGGACCAACCAAGGGACATCTGTGACAGATGGACAGGAATCTGGCAACTTCTCATGGGATAAGATCAGCAAACTCTGAAAAAAAGGTGAGTCTGAGACCTTTTATTATGATCCCCAGTAATATATCTGTGTTATCTTCAATTACTTTATTACAGTTTAATTACCATTGTACCATCACATCTGTAATCGGTCTCAGGTTAATTTTTAGGTAACAAAGATATAAGGATGGAACTATTTCATAACCTTCTTCCCCCTATTAAATGTTCTAATTTGCTACTGTAAGTGTAGTTCTATGTTCAGCCATTCCCAAACCCAAACCTTCCCTATCTTCCAGCAAAATCTCCTTCTGGGGTGGAATGGAACTTATTTGTAATGCTTTAGAAACCCTTTAAAGTATAAGCCAATTGCATAATGTCAGCTGTTTCTGTGGGAGGTCATTACCCTGTGAGGGGACATAATCTGATCCTCTGCACGTCTGAACCTCGAGAATTACGGCCTGTGTTGAAACGTGTTGATGCCTTGATCGTAGGCTCAGGACCCGTCCTCTGCTGAACACGCTGTTCAATGTTCTCCTGTTCGCCTGGACGGAGGGTGAGGACTGTTACTTTTGACCCTGGACTCCACTCACTGCAGGGTGAGTTGGAAGGTTTATTGCTGATCTGATGTCAGATTACAACCCTGTTGAGTTATAACTTCTCTAGAAGAAAATCTAATGAGAAAAATAACATGCATCCTGTTCTTTCACTGAAAAAAGTATCTCTAATACTTCCGGCTATATTGGAGAAAACACGAAAAATAGAAAATCATGCTGGATATCCTTCAAGTGCCAATGTGACCTAGCATGAACTTAAATAGGTCAATCTAAACTACTTATACCTGCACACTAAAGGGCTGAGGAGTTAAGATTATCTTGTGACACTCAGTCATGCTGATTTAATTTTCCTTTATGGTCTGCTGCCGCTCAGAGTTAAGACCAACAAGTGTTGCACGTACAGATCTTGCTGGGTGCAGTGGCACACGCCTGTAGTCCCAGCAGCTCAGGTGGCTCAGGCAGGAGGATCAAGAGTTCTATGTCAGTCTCAGCAATCTAGAAAGGCCCTAAGCAACGCAGCAAGACCCTGTCTCTAATAAAATATATATATTTTAAAGGGCTGAGGATGTGGCTCAGTGGTTAAGCACCCCTGGGTTCAATCCCCCAACCAAAAAAAAAAAAAAAAAAAATACAGACCACATACCTGTATGTACTTCAGTGTTATTCACACAAGGCAGAAGCAACCCAATTACCCACCAATGGATGAATGGATCAAGAAAGGTACAGGAGTACAAYGAAATGCTATTTGGCCTTAAAATTCGGAAAAATGCAACAACATGGATGAAACCTGAGGACATCGTGCTAAGTGAAAGAAGGCAATTACAAAAAGATGACACTAAATGAGGTCCTGAGGGGAGTCAAACCCAGAGAGAGTGGAGTGGAGTTGCCAAGAGGGAGCGCAAGGCGGACCTGGGAAGCTTCTGTCTGACAGGCGCAGAGTTTCAGCTTTGCAGGTTGAAATAACACCGGAGACGGATGATGGTAAGGGACACACAATAGTGTGGATGTCCTTAAGGCCACTCAACTATAGGCTTACAACGGTTAAGGCGGCAAAGCTTCAATGTGTTTTGCAATTAAAAATATTTTAGGGCTGGTGCTGTAGCTCAGCGGCAGGGCACTTGCCTAGCATGTGTAAGGCAGGCCCTGGGTTTGAACTGCAGGACCACCAAAATAGATAAATAAAATWAAATTAAAATTAAACTATTTATAAAACCATTCTTAAAAACAGAAGGTCAAGAAAGAAATGGGGCTTAAAAAAAGAAAAGTAAAAACGTACATAGGGTCCAGGTGTGGAGGTAAGCAAAGAGAAAGATGTTTTTGCCTGAATTTTATATCTGGCCTGGAAATGGCCGTTTCTGCTCCTGCCACAGCTGGGGAAGGATCCGCACCTGTGTCTCTTTCCTTCACCTCTCAGCGGTTCTCAATCTCTCTTCAATTCACACACATAAAGCAGCATGTTCCCCTCCCTGGAGGACCTTGAAATGCTGCAGTCCACAAAGGGCGCCAGCTGCTCTTCGGTGGCTCCTCCCTAGGGACCTGGCGCTAAACCCTGGCGTCCAGGCTCTTAACTGAGATGCATCCCATCTCCACATGCAGCCCTCCAGTGGCTACTTCAGGATCATGGATCTCAGCAAGGACAGCCAGGACCACGTACAATAAAGAACCTCTGTTGGGGCTGGGGCAAAGGCCAGGGTACTAAGGAAGTGACTTCTTGCTCCTTCCAATGCTGAAAGGATACTTTAACAAATAAAGGGACTGTGCATAAGAGGAAGAGGCAGGAAGCACTGCTGGCACCACGGTTCTCCTGATGAGTTCCTTCTCCAGTTTATTTTACACCTAAAGCTCCTAATCCCAGCGTTCCCAGCCTTTCATAATAAACCAACTCTTGGAGACCTCAACAGGGGATCATGCAACCAGCTTTCAGAGGCCCCAGTGAGCCAAAAGGAGGAGTTATGCTCCTGAGCCAGAAAGAGAAAAGAGGCCAATAGTGTTGGCTCAAGAATTCAATAATGCATAGAGCGAATGCTTCATCGGGGCCCTGCCCACTCTCTTATCTAGTCACCTCCATCGCTGACCTATTTTTCTCTGCTCCTTTACAACAGATTGAACAATGAAGGATTTATGTTATGTTGCCTCTCTCTCCCCTCTTTCCTTTTCTCCCTCTCCCTCCACTTGCTCCTTCCTTCCTTCCTTCAAAGCCTTCTTTCCTTTTAATCTCTGACTTTCTAATTTCTCCTAGCAAGGAAAAGGATTGGCTTTCTTGTTTCAAAGCTAAGAGTACTGACAAATATAATTTTTGGTTGAGTTTCTATACTGAATGGCGGTGAGTTAATAATCTTATAATTTAATAGCTTTTATTTCCTCTCAAAGTAAGGCATTGAGTGTGAACTGGAAATACACTTTTTTAYAAAATCTACCCGAAAAGAGCTTTATGCTTTGGCTCTCTGGAAATCTCTCTTCCACAATGGTCAGAATTTAATTCCRATATTTGAGGAATAATGACCATCCCAAACCATGTGTTGAGGGAAACTGCAGAGGAAAATCAGGGTAAAATGCTAGCAGTTGATGTCATTTAACAAAAGGCTCTTGATCCAGTCCATCCCAGATAACCAAGTTCAGGAGCCCATTTTTTTGTTTCAATGAAGACTAACAATCCTGGACTCCGGCAGAACTTCTCCACCCAGGAAACCATCCCAGATGTGCTAGAGACAGGGCAGTGCTCAGAGGCCAGAGACCAAGGCCCCTAACTAGCATGCTCTCTGCATGAGGTCACAGTCCCCGGGGATGTCTGGGAGGACGCAGCATGCACGCTCTCAACACTTTTCCACTGCTGGCTCAGAGTCCTCATATGAGGCTCTCTCCATCATCTCCAGGCCACACCCTTGCCTTCTCTTACTTCTTAGTGACATTTGGCAACTGTTTGAAACACGCAGGAATCATACCTCGAATGCAAACCAACTGGGCATGTGGAGGACTGCCCCCCGCCGCCCTTCTTACCTCTTCCCGAGCGTCCCTGAAGGATGAATTTAAAGGTCCTCCTCTCCTGGGGAGGCAAGACTTGGTGGTGTCTTCCTGCTGCCCAAAGAGCTCCTCGATCGTCCTGGCATCAATCTGGTAGTGATGCTGCTGCCTGGCGGCCAAGGTCCAGATGTTGGTCTTGCCACGAACTTGCTCCTCCGGAATGGTTTTCCAAAAAAAGCTTCTCATCCTCTTCTTACCCAGGGAACTGTAGCCATTCATGTGAGAAGTGGGGGGTGGCCCTGGAGGGGGAGGGGGGCCAGGAGGGCCCCCAGGGAGCGGAGGCGGTGGGGGAGGCGGCGGCGAGGGGGAAAGTCCTTCCCCTGAGTACAGACATGGTGGAGGCGGAGGGGGTGGAGGAGGAGGCGGAGGAGATGCTGGGGGTGACTCCTGCCCAATCATGAATCCAGCTGCCGTGGCGATATTCCCATTTTCTTTATCACTGGCCAGGGAGACACAATTCATAACATGCATAGTACTGTTGCCTTCTAAGGAGATAATTCCTTGACCTTGGAGAAGCAGACACAAACATCAACCTTGTGTCATGCTTTTTTGCCAGCAAGTTGGCGGCCAGGAAAAGAGGCAAGTGTGCGGCGTGTCATCTTCCAAACCTGCCAAGATAAAGCAAGTTTAAAAGCTGCGCTGGCAAACGCTTTCATACCAGTTATCCCCCGTAGAGGCCAGAACCAGTCYTCCTACATGGGTGGGCATTCACGTCAAGAAAGATATTCCAAGGGGCGTTAAGAGGAACTAATACTTCTCTGAATGTGAACCAAATTGTACCAGGAAACACTGCCAAAGTAGCATCAGTTAAGTCCAATTTGGAAACCTTCCATTAATCAATACAGCGTATGTGTATTGAGAGCCTCCTATAGGTTCAGCAAGTACTGCTCGCTCTGTGAATCACTACTTGTTCACCAACTAGTTCATTCTCTTTTGGGCAATGGATACCCAACCCCTAGGGAAACTGCCCAAATTGCTGAAGCATTAGGTGTGCAGTGACCCTGCCTTTTTCCAGTCTGGACCTGTCTCCTACCAATCAGTGGGCCAAAAGGCATCTTCCACCTTGAACACAACAGGTGGGGCAGTTGGAGATGATGAAATAATGGCCTAGCTCATTTCCCCGGAGTCAGGGTCACTATGTTCCTGCTCCACTGGGTGATGTGGCCTTCCCTCAGCTAGAGAAAAGAAGGCCAGGCGTGAGCATTGCACATTCTGGGTCTAAAGCAAGCCTGACTGCTTACATTACCAGACAGGTCCCTCCACCTGGCCAGAGTTCAGTGTTCTCATTTGTGAAATCAGGGGGATATGTCAAATGACCTCTAGCATCCCCATCAACGCTGTCATCTTGCATTTGTTAGGCCACTCTGTGGAAACCATTAGAACATGTCATCTTCCTGTTCTGCTTCATGATACTAGCAAAGAAGAGATACACACAAGGGCATGCTGTCCAAATCACATCTGCCCAATGTGTGTCCCTTATCCACATAACTCACTCCGCTGGGTCCTGATGGACCTTTAAATGTTTGCTCTGGGGTTGCTATTGACCTGAAACTGKGTCAAAACAACTACGGTTCTTCTAATACAAGGATGCGCGTGATGGAGTGGGGGGTGGGTGAAGGGAATAAGTGCAAGGTGTCAAGACAGCACCCCAACTATGGGAAGTGTGAGAAAAGGACAACCTCTTCCAGATCACAAAGGGCCAAACTTACACACAGGGCTCCTGGCTGCAATTATCCTTTTATAGCATCAGTTGTCGGAGCCCAGACTTGATGAACACAAGTTAGTCAAACAATGCTGGATTACCCAGGGGTAAACTGTGTGATAACACTAATCAAACATTACGAGATGTTTTACGTACAGCCACATATATTTCAGCTAGGATTGGCTTGGAAGTGAGAGAGGAGACTCTAGAACCCAGGYCTGCTACTTCCTACATACTCAACCTGAGCAGAGATAGGTTACTTAACCTGCATTTTAGCATTTTTATCTACAAAATGAGGATGTACCTGTTTCACTGGCTTGTATAAGAAATGAGCTACTACATGCACAGTTCTTACCAAGATGCCTGGCACACAGCCAGCTATTATTAAAAACAATCACAAGCTGCCCATATGTATATATGATTTTCCTTTATTTTCACAGGCATTCCATTGGCTTTGAAATATGTTTGGGGTTTACAGATGAAATGCCAAGTTATCTCTGGCTGCTAAAAAATATATTTTTAATATTYCCATTTTTGTCTATCAAAGTTTGTGGTTTATGAGATTTGTTCTTTTTCAATACTTAGAGTGATTGCATATTAAACTATTTCTTCATTACAAGAACAAATATTTTTATGAAACATTTGAATATTTAAGGATGCTGGGAATTGAACTCAGGTATGCTGAGTATGGGCTCTATCACAAGCTACCCCCAAGGCCCCTGAAAATTTAAGTTTTGAAAATTTCTTATAATGTAAGTAGGAAATGTCATTTCCAACTATTCATAGGATACTCTAAAAAAGCTATTTTAGTCATTTTTAATAAAATTTGGTGGCATTAAGTACATTCACAGTATAATGCAGCTATCAGCCCTGGATAACTTCTAAATAAGAAAAGTATGTATCCAAGTTGACTTACAGTTCACTTGAGATGCAACTGGCTTTTAGAAGGAGTTTTCATAATTATCATTAGGAGCATAACTAGGCTGTTTTCATAGCTGGCATCCCTAAAGCAATGACTCATTGTCAATTACAGTTTATAGTTATATTTGAACTCTTCTTTTTTCAAGACTGTACAGGTAATTTTGGCAGTTTATCCTTATGCATTTTAAAATACTTCTGTACATAAAATATTTCATGTATAGAAAAACTGCAAATCCTCCAGTTCACCTCCAATTCCAGATATGCTGACATATTTATATTTTATCCCTCTAAGAATGGTAATAGCTATGGAGCAATTCAGTAGTAGAATGCCTGCCTAGCACCCTTCAGGCCCTAGGTTCCAGCCCCAGGTGACAAGTTAAAAAAGTCTCCAACCTAAAAAGTAATAAGTCATTCAGTGCTGTACACATATGTCATTAACCGCCCCCATGCAAATGTAGAAATACTGATAGTGAGAAAGACTATACACTCAAAGTTTGTACAACATCACTTTTAACACCAAAGCGCAAAAAGGTGCACATCTTTTGAGTATTGTGTTTTGCGCAGAGGAAGTACCGAATTAAAAAAAAAAATGTTGTTAGCTAAGAGTTGTCACACTTCAAACTACTGCCCCATCTCTTTCTTTTTAAAAGTTAAAAGAAGATATATCACATTGTTTCTAATAAGTTGCCTGGTTAATTTTTTCCCAGAGTAACACACAAGGGTCCTAGCCCCCCAACAGCTTCTCATGAATCAGTTCACCAGTAATGATCAGCTCTGATGCTAAAGCTTTTGATGCTAATGCTTTTACTACCCATTAACTTCAATAATGCTTTCCCTTCRGGCAGTATTTCCAATGTCAAAGAGGTGGTAGGCAAAGAGAGTGCAGACAGAATTCTAACTCTTTTTGCAGTCACATGAGTTAGGAGAAAGGATACACAAAGAACAATACAGGTGCAGTGTACACTCTCAGGTACACCTGGAAAACGCAGGTGAAGCCACAGCCCTGACAGATGACGCTCGCCACCTGTTTCTCACATCTTGCAACTGCCAGTAGGGACAATGGGATTAGACCTGGTTCTGTCTGGGACATGCCAAGTATCCCATCAATCTCCCTAGGATAGGCAGAGACAGGCTAGTATTTAACATCTCACCTACAGTATGGGGACCTCAGCAGCAGGGAGGATGGTTGCTGATGCTGACAAAGAGACTGCCCCGAGTCAAATGCAGAGCTGTCATGATTAGGCTCTGAAGCTGATAACTTGMTTTCAAGTCCTATAGAGTGCTAACCATGACCCAGCAGAGGTGGGCTTAAGTGATGGATGCTCCAGGGGTGGAGGGCTGTAGTTCAGCTGAGCATCTTTTAACCATGTAAAATTTCAATAAGGCAATACTATGATCATGCATTTAACCAGAAGCATTTAATCAGCAAGCAAAGCTTAGAATGAGAATGTTGCCAGGGGTCTTCAGAGAAGCTCTCCGTGGCCTCATAACCGCTCTTTAGCACAAGCCTGCACTGCTCTGTCCTATGCTTAAGAAACATCCTGAGGTTCCATTCTTTTGAAGGGAGTGAGCAGGAGAGAAGAAAGTAGAGTATGGAAGCTTCCTCTCACTGTGCCTTTCCTGAAAGAGGGTCAGGCCAGCACTGTTGTTCAGCTTGACACTCATCCCCTTGGCCAACAATAATCAAAAGGAAAACCAGTGCCAGAAAAATCTTTCTCCTCGACTCCTGTGTCACAGATGATGTGGGGGCAGGAAGGACTGGCCCACATGCTTCTGAAGATGAACCTGGGCAGAGAGAGCCAGGTTTGGTGAGAACAATGCACACCTATTTTAGCTGGGAGAGAAGAAAGGATGGGGAAAGTTCAGATAATTCTAAAATGCAGAATTTTTGTTCTCACTGCACTTCTTCCTTAAGAAGTCTCCTTCACCAGGACATGTCTTTCAAACCCTTTCTTAATTACTAAACAGGCAATGTCAGTCTGAGCAACCACACAGCCGATCCCATTTAGAAAGTCCAATTTAGCACTCGGGCCAGCAGTGAAAGAAAGAAAGAGAAGGGATTTCCAAGACAGCGTATGTAATCCCTCGCATCACATAAACATTCACAGCTGCCCTGACAGCAACACCCCAGAGCACAAGAACGCCTTTTCTGAATGTGCACTTTCAGTTTCTTCTCTTACAGTCCCAAAACCGAGGTGGAGGGGGGGAGCACTTGAGTGCCAAAGGATGCTCTTGAGAGAGGGAAGGAAGCGCTAGCTACTGATTCCAGGAAGACAACTGTAGGTCAGCAAAGGGGGTCACAGACGGCCGAACTCAAGGAGTCATTTCTGTGCAAACAGATGTTTGAACACTGACACGACTTCTGGACTTCCCAAAGTCAATCTGGACACACGTTTCCTAGGTCTTTGCTTGGAGAGAGGTTCACCACTTCCTCAGTCTCCAACCAGGCGCCCCCTCCCCTGCCCCAATCACTCACCAAAATGCCAATGGCTCGGTCACCTCCCTGCACAACCCCGATTGGCAGGGGCCACCTAGCCGCGCTCGTCGGGATCCCGGGGGAGCAGGGCTCCGGGGCAGCGGGAGAAACGCGAGTGGGCGGTCCCGGGCCTCGCAAGCCCCAGCGACGTCCTTATCTGGGCCTGGCGGGAGCGCGTCGCGGTACTGATAACCGCCCACAAGGGCCGCCCAGGCTCCGCGGCCGCTGCCAGGGGCCCCGGAGCCCTGGAGAGGGGCGCGCTGGCATGGCGGGGACAGGGGGCCGGGAAGGGCTCGACCCTCGCCTCCCGGGGGCGCGAGCGGTCGTCTCCCCTCCTCCCGCAGAAGCCACTGCGACGGCCGCCCCGCCGGC